TTAGGGCGGGTGATGTCCCCGATCTTACTGCAGATCCTACGTTGGCTAAAAAGATCCTTGGTTTCGAAGCGAAGCAGAGCCTTGATGCGATGTGTAGGGACCTGTGGAACTGGCAGACCAAAAACCCCAATGGATATGCCGATGCTGCATAATGTTTAGCTAGATGAAGATTGCATCTAGACCCTCGTGTCTACTACAATTTCTCGGTAGTCATGGACGGACAGGAGTGGCTGGATTTGTATGCTCTAATCGCTCTATAGATTCCTTTTTATTTCTTTCCCTACGTAAATTAGATATGCCATTTGTTACACCGTCGCGGGTTAATTTACGTTCCGCGATGTACAGTTTTAATCGATATATTTGCATCAGTACAACAATATAGAGCGTATACACAGTTTATGATGATCCATCAATTATGGAAAAGTCTATTCTTCCCATTGAACTAGTACGACCTCCTCCCTCCAGCACTCTCTGAGTTCGCCTGAGGCAGCGCTTGTCGGTTCTTGACAGCAATTTTTTTCGCAAGTGAATATGAGACATGTACCCCATTCCATTTGGTTATCAGAGACAGAACCATCTGGCCGCTTCAAGGAGTTGATAAGATTAGGCATTAGTTGGCATTCGAACCGTCTTTTACTGGTACAGATCGGACATTTTGAGAGTAGAGGTGATGCGGAAGGATTGTATGTTCTTTTGGGTTCGGCACCTGCGACCACGAAAGCTGCTCCTGTGACGGGGACGGATGTCCCTGATGGGATGGAATGGAGCGACTTATACACAGAGTCCGCTTGATAGAACAATGGTACTCCATTAAGCTCATAACTGTCGAGTCGATAAGTGATTATTGACTATATGGCCATTGATGAACGCACCGAACACATTGCTTCGCCCTTGCCTCCACTCTGGTAGCGAATCGTGCAAAAACGTCATCAATGTTCGCGCTTTCTTCCCACATTTCTTTGCCCCAATCTTCACCGCCACCGCTGCTCTTTCCTGTGCTATAGTTGGCCGCCGCTTTTGAAGAAGTGGCAGCCTTTGGAGGAGGGGGTAGGTATTCTGATTCTGTATCCAAATACATGGGTCGATAACTCGACGATTTGGACCAGTCTGGACTTGGACCAAGATTCGCCTTTGACATTTTTGTGGTAATCTCTTCTTCAGAGCCGTCTTCGCTTTCTTCTTCAGATATATCATCCTCTTCTTCGGATTCTTCTTTGCTCTTATCTTTCTCCTTCGAAGAGGCCTCGGGCTTGGTGCTCAGAGAAGCAAAGCCCATGATCTCGTCCCCAAACCCAAAGGATGGGCCACCTAAAGGCCCGCTCTAAAGAGGAATGAGATCAAGAGGAGAGGAAATTTATCATCCATACCGAGAAGGGTGACGACGCAGGAGCTGAGAAAGGGTTAACAGATGCTTGACTGGTAGACTCTTTTGAAGCAGATTGCTGTTGCTTTTTCTCTTGTTTCCTTTTGAGCTTCCGAGCATACTTTTCGTCGTAATTAAGGCCTCTCCAAGCTCGTATCCTATTTGGAAATTTTATTAGTACTGAATTGAGACTTATAATAATAAACGACTTACGCTCCCTCCTTGCGTTGGCATGAAGCTTTGGAGCATCCCCATATATAGAGGACGCGTTCGAAAGGGCTCTCTTCCAAGTTGCATAGCATTTGAACCAGTAGCTCCATGCGCTCGCCGCACACCTTGCACTTTGACGCGTCAAACGAAGGGTGTGGGTAGGTAAGAAATGACTATATGCAAGCGGAACAATTCATTCAAGGTAATGAGTTGCTATCAGTGGCATTGGTCGAAGAGCAACGCACTGGCGTGCCACCTATTCGAGAAACATAGGGATCCTGAAGATCCGCTTCCTCCTCTACCACATCGCTTGGGATCCCAAGGTGTACAGAAGTATAACCCCCATCTCGAAGGCCTATGGAATCTTGTTCGTCCTCAGAGTCGGATCTATCGTCTCGTAGTTTTGACATCTATGTAGACAGGAGTCAGTGAGATTCGAAAAAAGTCGAGTTTGATGGAAAAGGTTCAGGAAGCATGAATGGTATTATAGAAGAGTTCTAATCTCACTAGCTAAAATATGGAAACCATATCCAGCATGTATCAGACTCGTCATCTGGGATTCATCCTAAGAAAATTATCTGGGTGGCAGACTCACATTTTTCGTGGTTGGTTTTATGGTGTGTACAAATATTTGCCCAAGCCTGGCTGCCATCGGATCATCTATGAACATTTGCGCTTAGACTTATTCAACGCTTTCTATCACATTGAAGCAATTGCTGCTCATGGCATATTTACCTTAGGATCCCTCCTTACGCGGTCAATCCACTGTTTATCATCATGCCTGGAGAACAACCCCACATTTTGTTTATCGACTCTTATGATAGTTTTACACATAAGTACGTGATGAAAATCATCACCACACATCCCATATTGACTGAGAAAACCTTTTTAGTCTAACAGCGTTGTGTCGGGAATCTCTTCCCGGATCTTTGATCCATGTAATCAAGAACGATCAACTCACAATACAAGACTTGATTCAACATCTCAAGTTTTTTACTGCCATAGTAGTGGGACCCGGACCTGGTTCACCACTTGACGAAAACGATATTGGCGTCGTCAAAGACATCTGGCACGTGAAGGATCGCCATCTCCTTCCAATATTCGGAGTTTGTCTAGGACTCCAAAGTCTTGCAGTTGAGCATGGTGCCACATTACGACGCCTCAAAGTTGTCAAGCATGGCCAGATCTCTCCCATTGAGCACACTGGATCGGGCTTGTTCCAGTGTGTTGGAGAGGTAAATGCCGTTCGATATCATTCACTCCATGTCGAAGTGTCAGATGAATCTGATATGGATATACTCGCTTGGGCAGACGATGGCAAGCATGAGAATGGAAGGGTGGTAATGGCCGTGAAGCATCGAAGCAAACCCTTTTGGGCAGTGCAATACCACCCCGAGTCTGTTCGTACAAGTGGTGGAGGAGTGGATATCATGCATAATTTCTGGAACATGGCTGGCGACTGGAATGTCAACCGTAGTCGTCTGCCCCCGAAATGGGATCCCAAGCTTGAACAAGTCTTTGGGCCACCTTGGCCGACTCTTTGTGCACCCTCTCGATCCCTGCAATTCGCATCTTCACCTAGACAGGTGATTACCAAGATATCAGTGCTCCCTCAATTGACTAGCAATGATGTTGCAGAGATGTTTGGAGCATCCAAGGGATCTCAGGCATTCGTCATGCTTGATTCCGCTTCTTCACCGGGACGATACTCCATCATCGCTTCACTGACCCCTACGTCCATCCGACTGGAGTATCATCTGGGTGACAACTTTGTTACCTCCATCGAGAATGGTCAAAAACAGCACACTTCGTTAGGAGACCAAGATATCTGGAGTTGGACCTCTTCGTTTATGGATCAGAGAAGAGCTGTAGGTGGTCGTGAGGATATCCCATTCTGGGGTGGCCTCGTCGGATATATCAGCTATGAGCTCGGCTGCGCTTCGCTCCTCGACAGCCAATCGGATGGCAGGCAAAGCATTCCCGACCTCAATCTCGTTTTTGTAGAGCGGAGTGTAGTGGTAGACAAGGAAACCAACAGCGTATACGTTCAATCTATCATTCCTCATGATCATCTCTGGGTCCACGATACCGCCTCGTCACTCATGTCCCTCTCAAGCTTCAAAGTCCAATCTGATGATTGTCCGAAAACCGAAACCTACTCAAAGATGTTGAGAAAGTCTTCAAAAGTAATTATTCCGGATCATCAACGGTACATCTCGCGCATTCTG